CACTCCCATCACTATCAGCATTAGGTGTATACAGTACTAGCAGTCAAGAAGGAAAGAAACGATGTGTTCGTCTTTATCTCTCTTCATTATCATTCCTGCAATCTAGTCACGTGGGGACATAAGTCCACGTGTCGATGGCATGGATACGGCATACGCACCAACGCCCAAGCATGCATCACCAATCGTTCACACGACAATGCCTGCAGTATGTTCTCATGTCGTGCGTACTGCAAACATGGTGAAACACATGAGAGCAGTTGTTGTTGCGGCACGGCTTGGTCGGTAGCTGCGGAAATGCGCAGCTGGGGTTACAGCACTTAGGCTGCTGCGGACCTACAACACACATAAATACAAATACACACACACACACAAACATGCACACACACACACACACACACAAACATGCACACACAGTGTTGTAGCCTAGCATAATATTACTAATGCAAGAGAACACAATTTTTACCATTCTGCAGGTGCAACATATGCGAAGAAAAATAAATTACAAGCTACAGGACATGAACAAACCCGAAAGCTTTATTTGATTATTTCACAAATGAACGATGAACTCTGTCACCTCGATGCCGATTTAAAACTGAAATAGGGAAAATTGTGAGGATACTGCAAACAAAAACGAGCATACCTGTATTGCATCTTGTCCTTTGCTGTAGCCTATCTGTTGCGAATACTGGTACAGACGTAGCAGGCATTGGATACAACGTGGCTCCTGCAGAGTGAAGTAAACGCGCAGCTGTAATATGTTGACACACACGAACACGCAAGCACATACGTACACACACACATACATACACACCCACACACACAAACACATTAGCATGATTTTGCTCTCATGGGGCAGCTGGACACAAAATCAAAACATGATATGGATGAACAGATACTTATTATAGATTATTGGAGTGGATTACACCGAGCAACACCAATGGCTGTACAGTGTACAGATGCACACTGAAGACATCGCCACTTACGTTCGGGAGCTGCAGCCTGTTGTATTGAACTACTTCCCGTCAATGCTGTCAATGTGACGGAACCAGGTCTTGTCGAGGCTGTAAGAAATGTTTGAGGCATAAATTGGCAAGGAAAATAACGCGTGAATTATAATAGGGGGGAAACGTACATCTAGAACGTACAAGAAAATGTAATTAAGTGGGGAAGGCAGCAAATGAAATTAACTGGGGAAAGGAAAGCCTACCACACACCTTTCTCACGCTGTTGAGCTTGTAGGAACTGCCTCCGCTCAGTCTCTCCGGAAACTCCGACACGACACCTGAGGTGTCTTTCGACTGCAGGTCGACCACGCTTGGCATGCCCTGACTCCAAGGCTGGATCAGGGACAGCAGTGCTATGTGTTTCGTGCAGTCTGCGCCTGGCGCTAAAGTGTTGGTTCAAGGTGAATGAAGACGCTGTGCAGGAAATCATACAGAATAGCACAAACAGTACTCTATCGGCTTTGGATAGCTAGCTATTTAGACTTGTTAGGTGGCATTTGCGGAACTCAAGTGACTGGCCAGGCCTATTACATCAAAGTCTAGCGAACAACAAACCTTTATGAAACCAGCTCACTAGCACACACAAGATCCATATCTGCGGAATCGACAATTTTTTATCTTGATTAACGACACTATACATACCCTCTTGGATAACCAAGCCAGACTCATCAGTGGGCAGACTTTTCGCAAGTTCTTCTGACAGCTTCTCCAGTTGAGCGCAGAGATTTTTTAGAGCACTTGAGTCTGTACAGACGAAGGTCTGTGCATCGATTACTTTGAGCATGTTTCGTGCTTGCCTTGCAGAGAGTTGGTTTTGTTGCTGTTGTGTCTGTACAAAAGGAAAGTAGTCGCAAATTTAAAAAAAATTAATAGAAAGATCAGAATTGTCGGAGAATATAATGTACAAGTTTTCAAACGTTAATTATGCAATAGGCGCACTCATATCACAGTCATAGCAACGGATATAATGTCCCATGCTATCATAGCGCGCCTATAGTTTCACGCAATGCATTATTATTAAGATTATTGTCTCCACGTAGCCTTTGTAAAAATGTTACTCAATGATTTTCTTTCAGGCGATTATATGCAAGGGAAAAAGGCTCAAAAAGCACAACAAGCTATAAACAAACTTACCCTGTGTAAAGGAATTTCATTTGAAACTGGATCTGACAGCTGGGCTCCAACTTCATGCGAGTTGTTCACCTGCTCGGGCACTTCCAAATCTTCTGAATGAACCTCACCATCTCCAAGATCGATGTCTAGTGTCATTTTGGGGCTGGAGCGGTACGTCTCGGGCAGCGACTCCCAGCTGCAGCCGGGTACATTCTTGAATACGGCAAACATATGTTTGCACGGTAGGGCTCTCAGATTCCAGTCCTCGCAAGAACATGAGGGTGTTTCAAAGCTAACGAGACGAGTCCTCCCAAATGACTTGACATTATACTGGTGATCCCCAACAGCTTCAACATTCTCTACAGGGAAAGAGGAGAAAATAATGATAAGTAGTTCTTAAAGGGATTGGTGCATGGGTGACTCAATATGGACTTTCTTAAGTTCCTTTTGCTAGAATACATGTGAAACCGTGACAGATTTTCATACATCCATGACCTGCACAGCACAAAAGTGGAGCGAGGCTTGTTTGTTGCAACTCTGAGATCAAGGAGATGCATATGCAGTACAGATTATGGACAATATTTCAAACCAAAGCCTACTAGGTACAATGAACATGAGGCCTGGCGATCGGTCAGAGCGTGAAGCGTTATAATAACGAACAATTACAGCGAAAACAGGCTCTCGTTACCTCGTTTTGTGGGCACTCAACAAGGAAAGACCTACCTGGCAAGTACTCCTGAGAAGACTGCTCGCGTTCCATGCAGTGCAGGATGACATTCCTGGGCCGGTCGCGTAGGTATACGGGTACGTAGTCGTTGTACCTGAAGAAACACAACGCAAATAACAGTTCCCGTACAGAGGTAAAGCAGTACATGTACTGTACATTGGGTGTCCAAACAGAGGAGTTGGGGTGTACAATTTAGATGCCAGTGACGTGAAATGTGGATATGGTCATAACAGTGAAGACGTTTACCTTCGGAAGGAGCTCAGCTGCATGATATTCTTCTTCAGGTTCTTATCTCGCTGCTCAGGTAGGAACTGCTCAATAATGATGGTAAAGGTATCACTAAGCGTCCTTTTCTTGCCGTTGTTACTTTTAAGGAAGGCATATTTGAGGACCTTTCAAAGAAGACAATCAGATAAGAATAGATATAATTGTGAGAAAAGAGAACATGTTTGTATTGACACGAATAATTGCCTTACATCTAAGAAACAAACACTCGGTGACATACTAGTAGTCAATCTCGGATGTAACTAGATAAACACAGGGACATGTGCATGTGCACAGTCCGGCTTAATCCGCTATGCCAAATATGCGAACCTTGTTTTGGGCCTCGATCCCATTGTTCGTAAACACGTTGTGGTGGTATTCACGCTCTGTCCATGCCCTGGCCCACCGCTGTATGAAATAGAACACAATACCGAACACTCTCAGATACAACCAAGTACATTCTACCCTCCGAGCCATCCAACTCCGGACACACTAATCAATAAAAACTAATCAATCAAAATTTAATAACTATTCCTACTACTACTACTACTACTACTACTGCTGCTACTACTACTGCTGATCTTCGCCTTTATTTGAAAACAAACCGGGTGTCAGAAAGAAGAAACTGAAAACCAAATGGTATGTGCGCTTCCGAATATTCCCGTGCTCTAAAGAGCATTGTTCAGCACATTGTCGAGAAGCAGCCAGAGCTTAGTTATGCAATATGCAATAGTAATGTCGCATTTGCGCTGCAGGATCTCTAATATAATAATAATAACACAAATGTACCTCTGGGATTGAGAGCCATTTGGAATTCAGCCAACTTCGCACGTGCTTATTGGCGCACCACACATCAAGACTACGTAGCTTTGATTCCGCTTCACGGTAGTGTCTGAAACACAGGAGCAAATCCATGGTATTATACGCACATACCACAAAGCATTTGCAACATCAGGGGAACTCAAAACTTGAATTAGCGAAAAACTCTACAAATGCAAAGGCTCAAGATGTTCAATCTCATACTTTTCTGGAGATTGCCCCGCCTCTCGACACGGTGAAGCATAAGCCAATTGTCGCAAGCTTTCTAGCAGTGTTACGGCTTCATCATCACTTAGGCCGTGGGAACGGTCTTTGGTCCAGCGCTGCCAAGCCTGCTCTCTGTGGAAGTCACAGAGAAATATCCTCCCTCCAGGGAAAACCTATAGTTCCATCAAGCACACAAAGATACGTAGAAACATGCGAATACATGCGGAAAATAAGATTGCTGGAAAAATAATGACCTTCTACTACTAGAAGAACTCTGATGGTGAGCCAAGGAAAAATTTGGAACATGGAAAGTGTGGGCACTTGTCAGTTTTGTGCTAGATTGTGCACGTCTGACTGTTAAAAATCTGGTTTAGTTGGTGGACTCGATCGCATAACTCGTGCCCACAATTCCATGTTACAAACTTCAAATATTACTTAATCATTGGTTTGAGGGAAAGATGCAAGCGGGAAAAGTCAGAAGAAAAATTACTGTCACCACGAGGACCTCCTACTCATTTATTTTTTAAATTCTCATATGGTAATCATACCTAACCAACAACCATAGCTTGCTTGGTGATGCCAACGCGAACAAGCTTATAATAATGAAAACAATAACCGTACTGAACTATGCACAAAGGTGAGCCGGTTTAATATTGCACACACCTCCAAAAATTCTAAATAAATCAATCTAATTACCTCCTCCAGTGCAAGCATCTCAGCCTGGGAATAATCCGTCATAAAGAATTTAGGTTTCCAAGACGGAGTCCGTTGCTTGATTATAGTGAGAGCTTCAGCTATATCAGCGTGTTTCTCGGATTGCACACAGAATTCTACACACAGTGAAATTAAACCAGACAGGAAAACTGCTATTCCTTTGCAAGACTTAAAAAAGGTGAAAGAAGACTCATGTTCTTTGAGGGTGCCAAGCCCAAAAAGACAACTGAGAGGAACCATGAATCATGAACAGTAATTGAAGTCTTGTGCTCTCCATCATTCCAAGCCAAAAAGACAACTGAGAGGAACCATGAATCGTGAACAGTAATTGAAGTCTTGTACTCTCCATCATTGCAAGCCACTTACCTGCCACAACGATGTGGCCTGTATTAGTGTGCACAACCAGGAAAAACAAGGCCAGGTCATAGCACGTTGTGCGGTATGTAGCGTCCATAAGAACGAGCTCGCCATACTTTACTAGAAGCTCTCTTTGCCATACCTCCTGGTGTATTACCAGGAGGCGTGAAGAGGCTGGCACGGGATCCACTAGCGGTTCGTCATCACCGCCGCCGCTGCCCTTATACCTGTGTCAGAAATTTACAACATCACAAGGTTTACAACAAGTCTCTGTCAGAAAGGCAAAAGTCGCTTACCAATGTCAGTGGCCAACAAAGCTTTGTTAGGGCATTCCGGCTGTTGTTAATTTTGGTACTGCTCTGAGCCCACGCACTTACAATCAGCACTTGCAAGGAGCAGTTGCAGGCATATTAAATAGATACTAAATAGCATATAATTATTATAATGTACCTTCCATCACTGGGTTCCAAGTCACTTTCAGCTTCCAAGGAAAGAGCTGGTGCAGCACTGCACTCTGATGGTTCTGAATCTGGCACATATGGCCGGAACTGCATAAGCGCAGGTGGGCGGGGGGACTCAGACCATGCCTTCACCTGGAAGGAAAAGAAAACAGGTGGATCGGTACTCCTGTAAAACCACTAATGTTAACGAACACTTAAGGTTATGTGCAAAAATGTACGTATACAGTCATTACATTTCACCTCGTTGCGTTGACCAACAAAATGCAGAGATCGCTAACTTTAATTGACGTTCAAATATCAGGTCTTCCAGTATTGATTTTATTCTTCGCGAAAATATTGTAGTATCGCTTGAATTGGGAAATGTCTGATGTAACCCAAGCAGGTTAGAATTGATAACAGAATGCACGAACACCGTTTCTCTTCGTATCCATACTCACCTTGTGAGCCATCTGAGTCTGGTCCAGTCTAGATTGCTGCAGCTTATGGGTAGCCAGGGCTATGTGGGAGCGGATGTCCTTTAGCTCTGGGTGGTACGCCCGGCCAAATTCCTGGGCAGTAGACAATGCATATCCGACATAGGTCGTATTAAAGGAGATTGCCTTCCCTTTATCACAGGAAGTTATCACGTGCATTAACTACCGTCTAACCACAATGGTCAGTGCACAGCAACAAGAATGCGTACAGAAAGCTATCAAGTGACTATTGGGTGATTGAGCACTGAAGATTGTTCTCTATGGAAGTACTTACATGCCTATAGTCCACTTTGAACATGGTCTGGATAGCCCGGCCATCTCCTAGACCACTCTCGACGAGTTGGAGAATTCGGTCGATAACCGACTGACTGAGTCTTTGGCTGAGCTCGCTGGCGAGTTTACCTTTCTCGGTAATGACATCATGACCACTGTGACTACCCTCAGTTGGGTAGCTCACGATAAACCTAGTGGGCATGCACATACGTGAAAGACTTTTTATTGGTGATTCTGCAGAGCTACGTACATTACACATACTATGGTACCATACAACTGGGTTAATTGGCCTACGTACCTTACATGGCAAGTGTGGCATTCATACATGAACTACCGATCACTGTACACAATCAATTACTTTCGCACTATGACATAAAAAGGTATGTTATAATGTTAGTATAACTCACCGATCGCACACATTGAGTTTGGACAGGTCGCCAGCATCGAGAGCAGCCAAAATAGATATCTTAAGCTCCTTCACTTTACCCGCTTTTGCTTTTACCAAGGCGGAAGCAGAAAGACCAGTTGAGTCAACCGAATAAGCGGGGAGTCGCAGAATGCGACGAATGTTGCACGATGCCTCACATCCAATTTTTCTTGTCCCTATAAGAATTACAGGGCATACCACAGTGACATCAACATGCAGTACAACTATAAGCTGGGTGCATTACTGCTGGATAGTGGCAAAGATTCCTTATTCGTATCTTTGTATAGCAGTTGACATGATGACATGTAGAACAACAATTAAAAAAAACCGATGCCTAGCTTTACAGCAATGTGCACCAAAAAGATAACCATGACTCTGGGTATGCTTCTGACCTTGGAGTTTTATCCTCTTCTTCTTCTTCTTATCAGCTGAGGCTTTGGGGTAAGAATGATCAGATGCTGAACTCGTTACATCATCAGAGGACTCGGTGGATTTTGTGGTGTGGCACCTGTAATGTTACCGACACAACAACACTTGGTCACTGACAAAGGTGATGCAAAAGAATCAAGAGATAGTACAACTGTTCTCATTGATAACTAGCAATTGCATGAAATAGATCACATTCAGATTCTTCCTGCCCATTTAATTCCATTACCTGTGCTTCCCAAATTGACATTCTAGTATGCGAAAGCCACAGCAGACGAACGGAACTCCATCAAAAGGAATCGGTGCACAGCTCGTGCCACGTTCCTGGCTCCATATGAACCCCTTTGGACGCAGAATGGCCTCCTTGAAGATCTCTTCAACACTGCAACATTTGTGGACATAGCACACATACATGTACGAGACGTTATAATTATACCAGCAGTCATTACTGTTAATCCAGTGACGACGCTATGTACACTGCAAAGATATGCGTTGGAAAATGGTTAGTTATGTGTTGGAATACAGTGGATGTGAGGTATTCTTGCTCAACAGGGAATCAAATTAGAGCCTAATTCCCAAAACATGATTCAGCACCCTGGGTGTAAGGTTTCGTACCCTGCTCAACGAACTAACAGACAGCATGACCATCAATTTTTTTGATGCATCCTTGCCATACTTCGTTCCAATGTTTCTAATACCGTAATGTCGCGTATAACAGCAAACCGGGGTCCAAACCATGCTTCTATTCAAGTTATGCTTCTATTCGAAATATGCTTCTACGTCAACATCATTCTGCACTGTGCAGTGGATACTGCCACGCATGTACTCGCACATGTACTTTACAGGGAGCGGCTTCTATTCAAACCAACTGTGTTACAGCGGGCTTCAAAAAATCGGCTTCTATTCGAGTCATGCTTCTATACAGGTCATGCCTTTTATACGCGACACTACAGTATGTGGGATGGGTGCAGTGGATATCAAAACTAATTTATAATCGTCCCGCTCTATGCAAGTGTGAATGCATTTACGTGTATCCGCTAGCAGGGCTGTAATGCACTGTGCACTACTGTAGGGCAATGCACACTGCATATTCTTCTCTTCAAAACCTATGAATTATACGACTCACTGCTCCTTTGGAACCAACATAAACACGATGAAGACAGCATTTTCGTGCTCCGTTTTGGTGGGTCTTACCTGTTTGATAAATATGGTGGCACGGTAAAGACACACCTGGCAAGATGGCGGTAAACACACGCCTGCCCACACACGCTCTCTAGGCTGCAAAGTTCTGGCACAGAGCTCTCCTTCTCACCACCACCACCATCAGTTCGCGCCTGGCGCCTGGTCGATGCATGGTTGGCGGTATCCGGCATAGCAGGCTGGTACATCAAGTAGTGCATGGCACATAGCAGATGACACAGCAACGACATAGCTCGATTGCGACGTACGTTTCGTCCCCGCTGGACTCATCAGGCAATCTTCTTCTTGGATGTCTTCACACGGAGCTTGACTCGGGAGAATGAATTTGAAGACACCACTGCAGCTGTACTTATGGTTGATAAATATGGTGGCACGGTAAAGACACACCTGGCAAGATGGCGGTAAACACACGCCTGCCCACACACGCTCTCTAGGCTGCAAAGTTCTGGCACAGAGCTCTCCTTCTCACCACCACCACCATCAGTTCGCGCCTGGCGCCTGGTCGATGCATGGTTGGCGGTATCCGGCATAGCAGGCTGGTACATCAAGTAGTGCATGGCACATAGCAGATGACACAGCAACGACATAGCTCGATTGCGACGTAGACCCGGGTGCTCGAATGAGACACAGGGTGCCAAAACAGAAACAGCTTGAAATTGTACCTAAACTTATTCCGATTTCGTTTAGTTTTCACAAATACCATCAACATACGGCCCGCTAACGGTATGCCAAATTTCAGCTCTGCCCGTAAACGGTTTTTGAAATACTCGCGACCCACTTTTTGTTGGGTCCTTGATTCGAGGATGTGGGTCTACGGTACGGTGCTGCCAAAGAACTGCTGAATCTGCGGCTCCGCTGACCATCTTGCTCTCAAAAACGAAGTAGTAAGTTACTACTCCCTGCCCTCAACTGCCATAACAAGCGTAGACGATGGTAGACCTGTGTGCTTGAATCGGAGACGATCTGACGAGTTCGCTGTTTCTGATTCGAGCACCCAATTTTCAAATAAAAAATCCGAAGGAAATACGACAATTTTACTGCGTACTGTAGGCTGTGTTGTAGCGCACCCAGGTTCTGAATTCCTGCTGGGTGGGTCAAGCCAGACTCTCTTCCCTGTTCCATCGCCTCTCCAAAAGTATATTCTGACATTGTTGAGATTTACAGATGAGAAATTGCACACCTGTCAAATCGTTTCTGATTCGAGCACCCGGGTCTACGTTTCGTCCCCGCTGGACTCATCAGGCAATCTTCTTCTTGGATGTCTTCACACGGAGCTTGACTCGGGAGAATGAATTTGAAGACACCACTGCAGCTGTACTTATGGTTGATAAATATGGTGGCACGGTAAAGACACACCTGGCAAGATGGCGGTAAACACACGCCTGCCCACACACGCTCTCTAGGCTGCAAAGTTCTGGCACAGAGCTCTCCTTCTCACCACCACCACCATCAGTTCGCGCCTGGCGCCTGGTCGATGCATGGTTGGCGGTATCCGGCATAGCAGGCTGGTACATCAAGTAGTGCATGGCACATAGCAGATGACACAGCAACGACATAGCTCGATTGCGACGTACCTTTACCGTGCCACCATATTTATCAACCATAAGTACAGCTGCAGTGGTGTCTTCAAATTCATTCTCCCGAGTCAAGCTCCGTGTGAAGACATCCAAGAAGAAGATTGCCTGATGAGTCCAGCGGGGACGAAACGTACGTCGCAATCGAGCTATGTCGTTGCTGTGTCATTTGCTATGTGCCATGCACTACTTGATGTACCAGCCTGCTATGCCGGATACCGCCAACCATGCATCGACCAGGCGCCAGGCGCGAACTGATGGTGGTGGTGGTGAGAAGGAGAGCTCTGTGCCAGAACTTTGCAGCCTAGAGAGCGTGTGTGGGCAGGCGTGTGTTTACCGCCATCTTGCCAGGTGTGTCTTTACCGTGCCACCATATTTATCAACCATAAGTACAGCTGCAGTGGTGTCTTCAAATTCATTTTTACCTGTTTGAGAACGGTTTTTCTGTGGTCCTCGTTACAAAGCTAGCGCGTGGTAGGGCAACTTTCAGGAAATCCTCCAATTCCTCCGCTCCATCTAATACTCTAACCTCGTTTGCCATCATATCGGATCATGATCAGGACAAAAACCAAAACCAAAACGTGTCCATCTAAAAAACCAAACCAAAAAACCAAAACGTCGTCTGTCACTACCGGTATTCTTCCCTTCCCGCCGCAATGACCTTTCAAGTTTCAGGTCATAAAATAATGTGTATTGTTGTACAATGTATGTATGTACGTGTACGCGACGAGACTGCAAGCTGAAATGCATCCGTCATCTGTCCAACCCTGCAATGGCCACGGCCAAGTGTCCCGGAGCTTCCGATCGGTATCGCGGTCGCGCGACGCGGCCACGTACGAAGGCTTGGCTGTGACGTTTATTTTTTTATGATGGAAAATCCGCAAAAATAGATAAGCTTGTCCCTTTAGCCTTTCGCCCATCTACACCGGATGGACTTCGAGTCTTTTCGGCGTGACCTCATCGCAGCCAACTTGTATGCATTTGCACCTGGATCCAACGTGCACCAAATGTGGCACCAGTGGCATGGAGGGTTCATGGACGTGCTGGACAGGCATGCTCCGCAGATCCTTACAAGTCAGAGGAAACGGCCATCAAACCCACCCTGGTCGGATAGAGACTTGTTCCAGCTAAATGCGTACCGCAGCAACCGCAATGAGTACTTCCGCACCCAG